TTATGCGATATAGTTTCAGATCGACTCTTATTAATCTCGGAAAATAACACACATTCGCATATCAAATGGATCACGCACTGTATGTACGTCCTCAAAGTCGTGATATGGAAAATCATCAGGTCTTTGCCGACTTACAGCAAATGGAGAGCATTGCGTATTTGGGCAGTGTTGCAATACTTCGGAATTGATCACCTGCGAGCGAGTATATCCCATGATATAGAATGCGCGCAACGATTGAGGGAAAAGCTGAAGTTGGATGGAACTACTAATGTGAGATGATTATTCCGACATAATTGTTCAAGAATATACACGCATAGAGTACGGATGCATTGACAAATCTATGACCCAGTGTGAGAAAATATGCATATGGTTATGTACATGTGTTGGTAACAATATGGGAGTTCTGAAAGAATTTCGAGAAATTCTCCTTGGTTTCTGTACACTTCTACCCGAACTCGTTTTATTCCCCCAATACCGTTATAACCAGTCGCATGCCCCTTATGACCCTACACAGTGTTGGTTGGGCTCATCATCGATTACATCATAAGTGATAGCGAACAACATTTCGAAGGGGGAGCGATAACATATTATTACACTCATCAAGTGTTGCTGAATTTTTCCGTTAATACTTCTGCATTTGCCGGTTCGCTCTACGCATATTCGACATTCGTTTGAATACGAACACGTTCATGAGAAATTTGCACGGTTTTGGGGTGTGAAATTCTGGCGCACCCTTATATACGAGTCTCTCTCTCTTTTGCTCTCGCTGTTTCCGGTATTGCGACAGACCAAACCGCTGACAAGAAGGTGGCTATTTGTAAGGTCGAGCTACTCAGCGCAAGAAGACCGGCACTTCGCTGAGTTTTTCCCCACGGGAAGCTCAGTTCAGGCGCAGGTCTTCAATCCGTCTCACTCATAAAACTCTTAAAAAGTGTATATAAATATGAAACCGTTTTGCTCTAGTGTATGGTAGCTCATCTCTGTATTTAAGCCTTGTTGAAGTTTCAGCTCGAAACACTACTTGGTTGGCATGAAATGCTGAATTTTCTGATTTGCCTAAGAAAAAATACGCTCCTTAGAGTTGATCTTCTTTGCAGGGTCAATTGGACTTGACCATCACTAACCGTTTCGGACTTGTGTGTTTCACGGCCGTCCCTCATTCTCTCAATTCAAGGATACTGAAGGAGGCGGAAAAGGACGGATTCTTGATGTAAACGGCAGAGTTACCCGATCTGAATTAAACATTTTGAATTTCAGTTACCCCTCTAAACTGGTTGATGGCACACCGATTATTAGAGTGGCGTTTGGTAGCCCCTTCACTACATTCAGTGATGTGGACTTGTTATTTTCGAGCATTCAGAAAGCCCTGTGCAGTTCGTGAAAAAGATGGATTTTTTCCTGAAAAATGGAGTCGAATTTGAGAGTACTCAATCGCCTTCTCTTGTTGCTATGTCTCGCATGCTTCATTATTGGTTCATCGAGTGTTCATGATGTACTGTTTATCATCAAGACGATCAGTGGCAACGGACTGTTGACTTTCGGTCACCGTTTTTCCTTACGGGGATAAAATGTTGTATCTAAACCGTTCTGGCATGAGTATTGTTTTGAACCATCGGGTTGGAGTAGTTAGACTCAACATCGACTGCCAGCCCGGTATCCATCACGGACTTATCTATAAATTGCGTGAGCCACGCTGATGGGTCGGAGAGCACACCCAGCAGATGCCGTCACAATCCTTCGTTGTGGTGGAATCATGATGGGATGGAGACAACGCGATCATGCGCGTATTAAGATGAATAAAGATCAAATCAATTCAATTGGGATCTCCGGGTTTCATCCATTTTGATGGAAGCATGTTGCACCGGGGGTCGACGCGCCAGAATTTTTACCTTCCAAAGGGGGAATCGTTGTAGCTTGTCACAAGCTGCTTGTGTTATCTTCCATATGTTGCGCGTGTTGGATCTTGATCTTCGCACTAATTTCCCGAGAGAGATGCTATCTCTCTAGTGGGGTTGTCTAAGAGGAAAGGTCTCACCATTGCTAACGAGGACTAGGAGACCAAATGGATTTATGCACCTCGAGGGGTGACATCTGGCTGCGAGTTCGTGTCTATGTGAGGTATGGATGTCTTACCATAGCATAGCAATGAATTTTAGATGCTAGTGAATTTCCCGGATCTATTCGCACCGCAGCACTCAGATTTGGTTATGCGTTACGCGAATGAATTTGGTTTTACTCACGGATTAGTGGTTGGCTGCTGCCAGCTGACAGCTGAGACGCGAGCTGATATAATATTGATACCTGTTATCACGGCTGGCAACATTTCGGAGGCACAACTACTGGAAGCTTTTGGGGCTCTAGGCTGGACGGCTCTCGGAGGCAATGCGATACAATGCCTGCCATTTAACAATGAGTAACTCCTACAATGTATAACGTTTCCATCGTCAAGACTTCCGGGATCGGATGCGCTAGTATATGCGCTGGGATCGGAAGCCTAATGGAGATGCGGGAGACGCCGCGGGGCGTAGCGAGAACGAGGTTCAGAAGCTGGAGCTATTTCTCGGAGAAATTTTCTCCCATTTTTCTTCCTCTTTTCTCTCTTTCCTCTCTCTTATTCTTCCTTTTCCCTCTCCTTTTGCATATCTTTTGCCCCCGAGTCAAAGTCATAACTGACCGCTTCAAGTTCGGGAGCAGCTGCGGCTCTCTGTTACTGCGCGCGGGCACTGGCAGTGCCGCACTGCCGGAATAGGACTGAACCAGACCTTCGCCTATGTGGCTATTATTAACATTGAAGACGATGAGTCTCTTCGCAGCTATAGACAAGGCGAGTCGGTTCCGGTCCACCTGCCAGACAACATCATGCTTAACCGCACTCAATCTCGTAACGGTGAGTGGATTGGACAGCCGTAACCAGTTCCAACATCTAACTGGGCTGGTTCTCCTACTCTAGGAGTAAGTTCATCGCCTCAGGCGATGAACTGGTGACGAAGGCGATGACGAGGTGACCAGAGCTAGTTATCTCGACCAGTTAGCCGACGAACTTGACTGGGACGCAATTTTTGTTGGCGCTGGGCATAGGCTTCGTAAGTTACGGGCGGGTTACGATTCGTAACCCGCCAGTGAATCCAGTGAATCCAGTGAATCCAGTGAATCCAATGAATCCAGTGAAGAGTGAAGGCCAGATTCAAAAAGGTGAATCAGTCAATCCTACATCTATAATGTGCCGGACACGCTTTGAATTCGGTGTGCCGCCAGTCCACCGAGAACGTGGAAGCCTGCTTGTCAAGCCTCGAGCTTGTTGGTGGTATCGCTCGGTACATTAAGGGCTCTCAGAAGCGCCAACAGGAATGGAAATCATTCTGTGCCGATATAGACCAAGGTTACCTTGGTAAAGGTGCCCTCTCTGATGATGAGACCGATTCTGATAATGGCGAGCCCAATATAACCCTTAAGAGAGTTTCTCTCAAGCTTCTCTCTGAAACACGATGGCTCATGAATGGTCGGGCTATCAAGGCAGTTCTGATCAGCTACGAAGCCCTATTAGATTTCTTTGGGGGTCGAGCGGATGCAGCTCAGTCTTCTGAAAATAGCGAGGATAGGGTGAAGGCCAGAGAGTTCGTTAACAGGATGGATGATTTTCGTACGCATCATGCTCTCAGAGTCAAGGATGCTGCGTATGATGTCAGACTCCCTATCCATGCTGCCCTCCAATCGCCTGAGCTGTCAGTGTGTGCAGTTATAGCTATGATCGAGGGATTACAGACGAACCTCTTAGTATATGCCCAGGACTGGTCGAGGCTCAAAGGGTTCTACGAGATGGTTGAAGACGACTCTTTGAAAATGCACATAGAGAGTCCGCGATTAGAACGCGCTGCACGGAAGGGCTTTCGCCCACGCCGAGTTGCGCTGCCGGGTGAACAGAAGGAGGATCTCTTGTTGGTGCAACATGTCGGAAGAATCCACCGCGCCTTGTTAAAGGAGGTTTGCGACTTGACCAGCTCCAAATATGATCTGAAAGACCTGGAAATGGTGATGGCGATTGAAGATAGCTTGCTGACGATGAATACTGTACCCGACAAGCTAGAACAGTTATACACTACCATCGACTGGGAGGCCTTTGATAATGAGCGGCGCGTTATAAAAGCCTCTTTACTTGTGGGGAGAGTTTCGGGAGACGATCGCATTGCTATGGAAGATGTGATTGACTGCCTTAAACGTGACACTATCAAATTGTTACCGCAGTATCGAGACCTTACGACTTGCCTCCTTGTTTTGCCAGCGACGAGCTGCGGTGCTGAAAGATGTTTCTCTGGGCTCGTACGCGTAAAATCAAGTTGCGTACTTGTATGCAACAGAATTCCTTGAATTCTTATGGTATATGTTCGTTGAATCGGTCTTTTGCGGATGAGTTAGATTTGGATCGCCTTGCAGATGAATTCGTGCTTTCTCGAAATGGCCGATCGGGCATATGCTTGATCAGCTTGGCCATGTGATTCACGACGTGAATTTCACGTGACGTGACCCCTGGTGCACATCAATTATCAAATGTTAGCGATCTTAAGACAGAGTTAACAGTTCTCTTCTATGTTCTCATGGCACAAGGTTAGTGGACGCTCGACTTGAATAGACTTCGTTTCGCTAATGTGTTGCGCTACAAAGTACGGTAATGAACTATTACTCATAACTCTGACCAATGGTCAGTGTCACTAACTCAGTGACCATTTTCGGGTGCGACTCGTCAGCGGCGAGTCGCCAGCCTCGGCGGCCCACGCCCTCAGCCATACGGCCCGAGGACGGAAGCGCCGGGTGAAATTCCGCAGGTCCCGAAAAATTATGAAGCTTCTGGCGCTGGCTCCATGCCATGGACTCCATGGCGGGTGAAAGGCCTGAAGCCAAGGAAGCTAGAATTGGTAGCACTAAGACCAAGGAGAAAAAGAATAGTGATGGGGATTCTCCTTTAAAGAAGGCGTGTGAGAGCCATGACTATGTGGAAGAGGCGTAATTGTGATATGATATGAGTATCAATGTCATAGACATACAATCGTAGGAGCGCTTATTTATATGAATATGACATATTCACGCAAGCTCACCAAACCTTGACTCTGTTTCTGCTCTCCGAAATTCCCGGATTAAAGCCTATCGAACGCTGTACTTATCTGGGGTAAGCGGCATAATTGCGTACGCACGCACTAAGCCTCTGTAAAGTGAAAGATGCTTCATAATTCCTCGGACATACCGATGCCCTAGGCATCACGCCTATTAAAGATGCCCTCACTTCGAGTCTACAACTACTCATCGAGACAGAGGGGCGGCCAGTTTGACACCCAAGTCTTCCCACGACAATTCTCTATTCCTTTGAATCACAAGTTACAAGAAACCCAGGCCCCACACAATCGCGTTGCTCTTATGCAAGGGGCTCATAGCACTATCTAACTCAAATGCCGCACGGCGAATAAATACTGTAGGAACTAGTCGCCAGCTGACTTACTCGGCAAAACTGGTCAGCGTCACTGCGCCACAAAACTTTTCTGTTGAATGCGAAAGCAGCAAGTATCACATCTCCCAGAAGGATGATTATAAAAACGAGAATGCCTCCTTCCAGCTCATTGTTGCGGCCACTTAAACTCCGTCGAATCGGGCGGGGCCGGGGTCTCCACACCAGGCCATCCTTCAGCACCACTCAAATTCCCTGTCAACTGAAAATGACGACCAAAAATTAAACCATTTCGCTTCGTAACACAAACACCTTTCTTCTTATCCCAGGGACTCTACCAGGCTCCTCTACCGGAGTGGCTACACTCGCTTGCGGTGGCATCTGAAAGATATTTTCCGAGGCGAGTTGCAGACATTTAAATATTGCTCAAATAAGTGAGCAAATTCAAGCGGAGCGAAGATGCATTCCTGGAAGTTAGCTAGCGTGACACGACACCATTGGTGATAGGAAGCGGCGGAAGATGCACCAACAGTGCGTCAAGTTTTCTCGGGAGCATCTGCTCATTCGGAGATCTCTCCGAGTGAGGAAACACACATGAAAGTATCACAGTTCCTTATAACTCACTTGAGGGTTGCTTCCGCTACTTTTCCTCGTCTTCTTCGCTCCTACCGTCGGGACTTTAGGGAACTTCGGCGGTGATGGAGTTACCACTTTCGGAACCGTCGACTGCTGTGGCTGCTGAGCTGCTGATGGACGAGTATAGTACTGTTGCTGTTGACCTGCACGCATGCACATCCTCCAACCCTCCCCCAACCCACCGACTTTACCTCCTTGCGGTAACGGCTGATGCCCTTCAAGCTCGGCCGTTGGCACTCGCACGGTCCTGGGTGGCGGCATCGGTACTTGTGCCTACACAACACATCGTCAACAAAATGACAAACATGCATCGCTTCGCTCCGCCCGCTACTTGTGGTATTGCAAAGCCACTCTGTGACGCTGCATACTGTGGTGGAACTCCACTAGCAACAGCGGCATACGACGGTGATGCTACCTAAACGAATAAAGATCAACCAATACTTCCAGATCTTCCCCTCACCTCCTGCTGCTGTTCGCCAACTATTTTTTCTGGTGGTACCAACACTGCGTTCACCAAAGGCACCGCTCCTTGAGACGGCTGCTGTTGGTTGATATACTCCTCCCGACCCGCAGGCCGGCCCGGCACCCAAACCCCTCCAGAAGGCTGATACACTGCTGGTGAGTTGCTCGGACTGCTCTCGTCGTCTTCTTCTTCTTCATTGTCGGTACTCAGAGCCTCTGCATGCGGCCGTAATTCCTGTTGATTGGCTCGAGCCTTCAACTCCTCCTGCAGTTGTTTCAACCGGGCCGTTTGCTCCTACGAATGGAGATAGTTGTTCCTTTTGACGAGGAAAATCGATTGCATACCATCCCAACAGCAAGTTACAAAATCTACTACGATCAGTGTAGGGGGAATATATGCACATGGTCAACTACATGTGTTGGTGACAATATGAAAATTTCGAGGAATTTGGTTTCTGTACACTTCTACCCAAATTAGTATTTCATCGAGGAAACTCCTGAACTCAGCTGAGGAGAGCAAACATACATTGAATATACGTCATGATAACAAATATGGATATATTGTAGTTTCACCCGTGAAATGAAAAACACCAGTAAAAACCCTACTCCGCGACTACTGCATAGCGGCGCTAATATCGGGTTTTTCACATGGAGTATTACACCACTTCACGTAAAACGCGTGAAATTCCGATTATATATTCCAACACCGATAATTCCGCTTCCCTCCTTTCCACTGTACCTACCTCTATGGCTCGCCGCTGCTCATCGAGAGTATTCCGCTGTTTCTCAATCTCAGCCTGTTGATGTTTCCTCAACTCGGCCAGCTGGATACTAGCCGCTACATCCTCTCCGTTACCACCATCTAGTACTTTGGCAACAATATCACTCTGAGAATAATCAAAGTCAAATAATGCTTAACACTAGTGGGTGTTGGACCATATACAGTGCGTGTCAATTTGATATGCGAATGTGCGTTATTTTCCGAGATTAATAAAAATCGATCTGAAACTATATCGCATAAACAGTGTTAACATTGCTATGAACATGTGATGTGATAAAAGTAACCTTTCGAGACTATGATAGCGACAAGTTGTTCACTATCATTAATCCTGGAATAGAAAACACACATTCTTCACATTTGCATATCAAATTTGCAATACACTATATTCTTCTACACTACATCATCCGAATCCTCATCATCGCTATCTCCATCTTTTCCCTTTGCCACTGTTGTTGCTGTTGTCGTCGCCTTTTTCTTATCAGACTTGCTGGTATTTTTACTGTCCTTAGTAGTACCACTCTTCTTGGAACTCCCCGCTGCTTTTCTCGCTTGTCTCTGGAAGCTCTTTACCTTTTCCTCTTGCTCTCTGAGGAAATGGTCAATGATCGGACATCATCTGTATCTTTCGAATAGGACCTCCGAGAATCAGACTTTTATAACTATTTCCACTACGTAAACCTAAACTACTATAACTGTGAAATCCTAGACGAATAGTCGTACGCCGAATCCTCGGGTGTGAACATAAACATGTACTTTACTAACCAATTTATGATATTATGGAGTTGCACCCGTACTATGAAAAACTCTAGTGAAAACATATTTCACAATTCACTTCGCGAAAAACAATTGTCTTATCGGTCGATATACGCATCAACGCACGTCATATATAGCAAGATATACACGTCTTAGATTTACGTAAAGTAATACGCCACTTCACGTTAAACGCGTAAAACTCCTCTATTTCAATAGCACAGCGGAAGTCATCACCAACTGAACGTGATAGAGAACAGTTAGAGATCAAAAAAGCAGCTCGGAAACGACTTGCCCGAAACGCGAATGTAACACATCCTCATCGTTACGAACAGTGTCGAAAAATATGCACACGAGCAAACATATGTGTTGGTGACAATGTGAAAATTTTAGAAAATTCTCGTTGGTTTCTGTACACTTCTACCTGAATTTGTATATAAACTCCTTTACTCAGCGAGGCACCCCCTAGCATATATTCCACCACCATTCTCGGGGAAACAGTGTCGGGCTGTATCAACGCATGAACAATGCCTTTTCAAGTATGCTCAACGGCTAGACTCCACTATCTCTCTTTTCGCTGTCAGTTCGCCAGAGCGTGGTATGATCTACCCCAAATTTATTACTTAGCCTTCTTCTCAGCCTCCTCCTGTTGCTTTACCGCCGCTTCCGCTGCTGTCCGACTCTCATTAGCACTCGCTAAGGCCAACGTCCCTATACATTACTCAGATTAGGAAGTTCACAAGTTCAAACCAGAGGTGTCGTTAGATACGCCTTGGGCGTATGTGTTGAAAACTCATTACATTCAAAACGCCCACAGTTTACACTGTAGTTGTATTTTTTATTGTAATCAGCGTACAAAAAGGCATCATATTTTCGAGGGCGTACAGTTTACGACGCCCAGCAACATCATTCGTTCAA